CTTGTTTGCTTTTAAGACCGTATTTATATTTAAAATTGTTATGTATATACATAGTCAAAGAAGGTTCTGCACCAGTTGTGTATTCATTCACATTTATTAACTTAAATCTTGTCCCGTGCTTAGGAGCAGAAGATGACAGGAGTGGGCATTTAGGGAAAGAATTAGCAGCAACGGTGCGTAAATAAAATGTGTGTTTGGTTTTATGCTGGCCACATTCTGCTTTTTTGTTTAATAACTATCCATGTCAATGGGAAGGAAATTCAGGAGAATATGACCTTACAATTGCTACATGTTATCTGTGCTCAAACTAAAAAATACCAGAAGTACTAGCTTTAAGCTTAGAAAAAGAGCATATTGTTCTATTTATATTTCTTAAGCTGTGTATGTAGAAAATCCTTAAAAAGAGCAGTGCTGTAAGTATGTTACTGATTTGATAAAGTTTGCTTGGCAAAGCTTTGTAAAAGCTCTCAGAATCAAAGGTAAGCCTTGAAAATGCTTTTTATAGGAGGTTCTGGTTAGCCATTTCCAATAGAGAAAGGAGCAGTTGATCAGATAGCAGCTAAACTAATGAAAAGCATCATGGAAGTGACAGGAAGATTAATTAAGTTCCTCCAGTTGTATTCACGTGTTGTGGTACAGAGTTCCTTCGGGTACTGCTGCAGTTAAATGGTATTCATGGTGACAAATATTGCACATTTCCAGAACTGACACTTCTGATTCAAGGGTAAAAAACACATTTGGTAGTTTTAGCCCGTGAAGAATGTCAAAACCAAAGATGAGCCTCTGTGGTTGTTTAAAATATACAAATGTAACTTGCTCCTTCCCTTCTTATCCTTCAGTGTAACCTCAGGAGATTTGTAATGAATCACAAAATCTGCATTATTATGTAGTATATCTTAAACTGCTCCAGATGGCTTCAAAATAAAAACAAACCAAAATTCTTGCTGATGTACTTAGTATATTTGATTTGAGGCACAAAAATATGTGCACTTGGAAACATTTTCAATTACTTTTGGAGGCTTACAAAACTGTGGCTTGTTTGCTGTTCTTTCTTTCTGCACTGTGGTCACTAATAGGAATGGAATAACTTCAGTGCATAAATTTCCAAATTATGTGGAAATTCTAGACCCACTTTACTTTCAAGTATCTTTTAGTTCTGGGACGCATTTGATGAATTAATAGGCCAAGTGTGACTTGGATTGTTTCTCCCATTTTATTTTCAGAAATTAATGTTTGCACAATATTTTTTTTTTTTTTTTATATCTGTCTCTGTACAGTAGACAGAATTTATTTTAGGAAAATCTGTATGATATCTTTTAGCCTACTGCACATGATGATAGACTTAAAATATTTTATCACTGAGTGTATTTGTTGACTATTATGACACCTCCACCAACAAAGAGTTCCCCAATCTGCTTCTGCATTTGCAAGAGATGATCTTTGGTCAGCCTCACTAACTGACATTCATCAAAGCCATTTGGTAAGAGTTTGGGTATAAATCTAGTGTTACTTGCCTCCTGGAAGAGTTCAAGACTGGAAGAGGGTTTTCCAGGAATCCTAGGGAATTAAATGGGTGCATTAATATAAAATATTAATTAGTCTCTGCAACAGACTTGCCTGTGAGTGGCTTTAATACTTACTGTGGGGGCATTGTGTAAATCAGTGGATAGATAAAAATCAGTAGAAGGAAGAGAACAGAGGAGCTAGATCATGAAGTGGCCCTCTGGCTCTAGACCAAGTCAGGTGCGGGGAATAACCTGTAGGTTTTTCAGGTCTGGAGGAATGTAGGGGATGTGCTGTACTCCTGGGCCATGTGTGCTATCTTTTTTTTGTCTATTCCAAGGAGCTAATGTCCTGTGGGTTGTTCTGTATTTTGAAAATCTCCTCTTTGTGGCAAAGCTTTTACCAAGGTGAGAAAGGACAGAAGAATCTCAAGGTGGAGATGCTATTATGAAAAAAAGAAAGAGGTTGTTGGAAAAGAGGATTTCAGGGAGTAGAAGTTGTTTCTATTATTAGAAATAAGGATAAGGGCTAGCTGGTTTAGGAGAGGGTAATTTTTCTTCTTATGTTTATGCTATTGTTGAATCACAAGGGTTTGGGGGTTTTGTTTTTATAAGTGAACCATGCATGAAAATATGAAAATTTTGCAGTTGACCGGTATCTGTAGCAAAGTTAAATGCTGGTTAGCCTGTGCCGGCTTGTTGGTGATTGGGAGTTCACACCACGGGCTGACATCATGGACTAATTTGCTCATTCATTCTGCATGATCCTGCATGCCCAGGCTGGGTCTACTCAAATCTCCAGGCACACATAAGTGTTTGCTGCTCCTGACTGTACTTCCCTACAGCTGTTTTCAGCAGAATCCTCAATGCTTGCATTAAAACACCAGCCATTTGGGATTGCAATTACTAAACTAAACCTTGCTTTCACTGACAGTGACAATATCCCACTCGGGAATAAAATCTATTTTTTGTTCCTTGCTTGAAACACTGCTTCTCTCTGCAGCTTATTAGTGTTCTATGTGTGTAAGTGAAAGCAGAGTTTGTCATGGAGTATGTGAATTTGGGCTGTAAAAGCTTTCCAGTGATTTTCCCTCCTACCTTGCATTTCTGTAGTTGAAATGAAATTAAAGTTCTTGTTTCAGTTTCTTTGGTTAATTTAGTTGTATACTTACTCTCAGAACACAAACAAATGTAACAAGGAGAAAGGTTGTCCTTGTTTTACATCCTAGCGGGTGAAACAAAAGTGGAGGTAACGTTCAGAACCATGTAGTGGAGAACATGTCAGTCAGAACATGTGGCACTTTGGTGTTTACATTTCCTGAGGATCAGGCACCAATAAACTGGTAGAGGTATTGTAACACAACAGCCATTTCAAGAAGGCAGCATGGTGCTTGCCTCAGCACTAATCACACATCTACACAGACATGAGCCTTCTGTACCCATAGCCTGAATCAGGAGGCATATTGGCTTGGTGGAACATTGAGACCAGAGTTAGACTGCATCTTGCAGAGTTTGACTTCTGGCAGAATAACCCCAAGCTTTTTGTTCTGTGATAGGGTAAACGCAGCTTAACAGGCAAATGCTGTGCCTGGGTGCAGACTGTCTTAAAGGACGTCACGCAGTGCCTCTGCAACAGCACTTCAGAGATGGAAATGGAGCTGAAGGATTTCACAGAGAATTGATTCTCTGAGCTTTTACCCTCTGTGAAGGGAGAGGATGGAATGCTTGTGCTGCAGAAGGCTCCTGATAGTAGCTTATACCTACTGCTCAGAAAACATTAGAGTGTTTCAACTGAGATATTTTTAACCAGTCTTTGAGGACGGTATTTTCTCCTATAGCGAGTTGTGCTTCCCTGTACTGTAGAAGTGAATGAGCATTGTAATGATGAAATAAAGGAAAGGAATGTGCTGTGAATACCCTCTGTTACTTGCTGTCTGCACTGTGTAGTTGAAACATAGGCCATGATTTCTAGACAGCTCCTTTTTTCTTCTTTTCTCCAGGGATTTTTGGACAGCATTTCTTCACTGTGATTTAAGATTTGCTCAGCTTATGTTGTTGGTCACTTTGACCCACACAAGAAGTTTTGATCTTCCTCCCTTGTGCACTGTGGCCTGAGAATGCACTGCTGCACTGCATGCTTTTCAGTTGTGTAGCAAATCTTATTTTGGAGTTTGTGTACCATGGATCTCTCATTTCAGGGCTTGCCTCTTTCTAGGGACAGTTGAAATAAGAAAGGGCACTGAGAAAAGCTAGGTATCAGAAATTAATAGCTGTGGGACTGCCAGTGAGGGACAGGACTGAAACTGGTGCCCCAGTTCCCTGTCAGTGTGCAATCTCAGTAACATTCACACAGGTGGCCTACAGAAACCTCGTGAGGGCAATGCTGCGGAGGGCTCTTGCCGAGAGATGCGTAGCGGCACTGAACACCGGGCTCTTACCTCTGCTGCCACAACTGGAGCGTTCCTTGGCTGCTGTGCTGCTGTGATAATTTTGTCCAAAGTGATTGGACCTCATGAAATAGTACTTATTGTGTGGTGGTTTTACAAATAAGAAGTGGAGCTTTAAATGAATTATACCTGTCATCCTCTTTCCTGTAGAATAAAAGCATTCATCCCATTAGATCCTATTATAATGAAATAAACGCTTCAGCATACTGTCCATTATTTTTTTACCTTTATTTAGTGTAAGTGTATTATCACTGATACATGCCAGACTGACAGCAGGAAACCAATGTCCTCTGTTGATTCAGAGAAGAGACATATGTGCATAAATACAGACCGCATTGTCTTCACCACACTGCTGTGCTGTCGGATCCATCCCAAGGCACTACATGGTGGACAGTATTTTGGTGTTTCTTTAGTCTTTCTTCCTATGAAGCTGCTACTAGTTCATATAGCAGCAGGGACATACTTACAACAAACTTAGGACCTCTCCATTTGCCACAGAACAATAAAATACCTACCAGCTGCTAATGACTTATCAACCTGGACCAGAAAGCAACTAGAGACCTGGAGGGTGAAAGGTTGTAAACTCCATTACAGAGCCTCGTTGTCATATATCTCCTGTCCTCACACTTTTTTATTCAGGTGAAGAGATTGTAGTTTAAAAAAATCAGTTCAGCTGTATTGAAATTGAACTCTCTATTTGCCAGTTGCTTTTTAAAAATAGAAACAGACTTGTCTTTATCCAATATTTGGATTGAAATTGTTTACTGAAGTGGAACTATTGATTTAAAAAAGAAAAAAGAAAGAAAAGTCTTAGGGGTACATGATCTTGCAAAGTGCCAGGCATCTTTATCTTCTATTGAAGTAGGGTTATTGAGGCACTCAAAGCTTCTCCTGGAGCCTGCCCTTCAAAGAAAAATACACTAACAATATACGCTTTGTCTTTCCCATCTATTATGTAATTGAGCACGTTATGTCACTAAACGCGTTTACTGCCAAGGAAAAAAAAAAAAAGCCTGTACAATTTTAGAAGGGCTTACGTTTTTTTGTCCAAACCAGAGTTAGGTTAACCAGGATATAAGAGCATGTCGTTGCAAGCCCGCTAAAGAAAAGATCTGTTTGTAGTACTCTTAGTCCTGATGTCACAGGCACAGCAAGGACATCAGAAGGAGGAGTCAGATTACAGTAAGAATGGGCAGTGCAGCATGCAGCCGGAGTAAACGCTAAATCAGACAGGGATTGTATCAGGGATAAGACTGCCTGCAAAGCGCTCATCCTGAGGAGGCACACTGCTCTCTCACGCTTCTCGTGCTGGGAAATTTCCACATAATGTAGAATGAAAAAGCTCTGTTTTACATGTCAGCCCTGTGCAGGAGCTAATGCTGAATACACAGCGGTGGGATCCTGACTGCATGATTAATGAGAAACATAATGTATTTTGGTAAGTGTTAACTGTGATGTAATTCTGCTTCTGCTCACATTATCAATAGGAGTGATTATTACAGATTTCAGATTCAAGAACATTTTGTGCTGGCACGCACCTAAAACTGACAACTGGGGAATCCTGCCGGCTGTGCAGTTTGAAAGGATTCCATTGTCTGGGAATTTTTTTGTTTGAGTGGGTTACTGCGTAGTTCTAGCGGTTTGAAAAGCAAGCGATATAAGATGAACTTGTGCTAGGTTTGTTTTAAATGAACTTGTGTTTCATCTGCCAAGAAGGGATGAGAAATGCTTGTGAGGCATGGGAAGTTTTAGACGAACTTAATGTAATGGACGAGCTGCTACTGCACTGTCAGTGCTGGGGAGGCACAGCGAACCTCAGTATTTCATTCAGCTTTTAGTTTGAAGAATTCGAAGGTACAAAGGCGAAACAATGTTTAATTTGCTGTGATTGCCGAGTACTCTACACTGTGCACATCACCAGTGTGGAGCTGGCTCCTAGTATACCACAAAATATATGTTATTTTAAGCCTTTAGGGGTCTTGGAGCTGTTAAATATTTGTGCAGAGTTTAGTTTTGTTGCTTGATGGAAATCTTCCTTCGGCTTACAGCTGAGCTGGCTGCATACCCTAAAAACATGCTGGAGTGTACAGCTATGTCTAAGCAACGTAACGCTGCAGTACTAGGCTGGGGTGTATGATTGCAATAGAATGCTGCAGGTTAGTGATGTTAAAGAGCAAAGGAAAATAAAATAGAGAATTTAGTGATAGGAAAATGCTATTCTTGACTGCTTGAAATCTCATCTGGTCTCACTGTTAATTTATAGCAGCATAATACTTAGAATGAACATAGAGCAGGGAGTGTAAGGATTTCTGGGACATTCAGCAGCTTTCTCAGTTTCATTAAATATTGAATCAGTTCACTTCAAGCTTTAAGGGAAGAACTTTTGTAATATTCTCAGTGCTGTCAAAAAAGTACTATGCCTTGTGCCATGCTAAGCACTATCTTATTTTCATAAAATTAAAGACTGTTTGTGTATGTGAATGTGATTTGTCTTAAACAGTGAAATATATCAATTACGAAAGCCGATAGATTTAGATGTAAACTGTACTAGCAGAAAAAAATATACAAATTGGTTGAGTTCTTAGAACTGTTTTCAAAGATAAATTTTCAGTGTTTTAGCTTTACTACATTTTCAAAAGACTGAGGAAGAATAGGCAAGCATTATGGTTTTAGGTTTGAGTAATTTTATTAAGTCTCTTCACCATTAAAAAGGCCAGTTTAATTTGCTATTTGTTTCTTTCCAGTATTTTTCTACCTTTAACAGCATTATAAGCTCAAGATGGGTTGATTTTTTTTTAGGTTGTTTTTATTTTTTTTTTTGAGAAACAGTTCTTCTTGTGTGGGATTAGAAGTTGCAGTTTCCTGAAGTTATAGAGTTAGGTTATTAGGTATATGTTAGCTGCATTGTATTTAATTTTTAAATTTTCTTCCTGTCTATAATTTTCAGAAATATGTAATGGTGATCAAACTTTTTTGGTGTTGCTTTGAAAAAATAAAAATTGCTGTATCATATGCTTATTTGTTTTCTGGTACAACACAGGTTTTTAAATGGAAAAAAACTGTATTGTGCTTTCTCTCTGCTTTGTAGGAAATTTCACTTTTGAGAGCAGAGCTGAAAGTTTCTGCTAGGCAGGTTCTCTGTCTGCTGTATTCAGTCTGAAGTTTCCTTCAATATTAAGTTCTAAATGAATGTCCCTGTCTTTTGCATAAGAAAGCATGAGCTGGGAGATAATGTTTACCTGGTGTTATTCTGGGTATTTTCTTGCTATTCTGGGTATTTTCTTGCACTGTCAGTGAGAAGCCAGAACATCTGTAATCTCACCTGTCTGTGTTACTGCACAAAGCAGTATTGCACTGAGCCAGATGAAAGGTTGGCTGCGTACATTGCGCACCTACTTTGATTTCAAAGTGCTACAGCCATCACATAGACAATATTGGAATTTTATTTTTTCTAAGGAAAAAAAGTATACTTTCCTTTAAATATTAATAAAGAATTCTGTAGTGTTTTTGAGGGGTTTGTTTTTGTTTTTTTTTTTTTAGTCCATACATGCAACTATTGAAACTATTGAGCCACATAACTAGAGAAAGGGGAAAAAAAAAAAGCATTTCTGTATGTTTGTATGCATCTGGTTTGCTTTTCTGGGCCTTCTTATCTAATTGCTGCTGATGTAAGGTGGCATAATGGGAATGCATATGTGCAGCATTAAGGTTGAAGTAAATACTGAAAATAATTACCATGGAAAGTAAGACCTAACCCTCTGACAGTATTATTGTTACAGACCAAGTGTTAATGGGTGAAGGGAGATTTTTAACTATCAGAGAGAGAAGCTGATAAATTCAGGAATTTGTCATCATGTTTCTCTCTCTCTTTACATCTGTAGCCTTCAAGAAGATATTCTACCTTTATCTTACATCCTACTATGTATATTTTACTATTTGAGCTAAGCCTTCAAATAACTAAACTCATTGTTAACCCTTCTAAATTCATGAGCCTTTCTTTTACATTGCAACTGAATTGTGATGTAGTTGTTTTAAGAACTGCTAATTTTCACTCACCGTGCTGTGCTTTTGAGTTTGTTGTTTGGTCACCGTGGATACATTTGTTACTTATTGTATTGATTTTGCATTCATTATTTCAAGCTGAATAGGAATATGGAATTGTAATAATAATAGTAATAAAAAATCCTACAAAATGAGGTAGTGTGTTTATCGAGTAAGCCAAAAGCCAATGAAAATAATAAATTTCTTTCAAGCGTTATCATACGGAGACGTTTTGCACTTAAGAACATACATGAGTACCTCAGAGCAACTTTTTGCCTCTATTTATGGCCAAGTTAATAATTTAGCAGAAGACAGAAGTCAGCTGTGACCATTCTCAGCAGTTGCGAGAGGAGGAATGGTGGGTGGCTCTCAGCGCCACAGCGCTGATGTAGCACGCTGCTGAGGGGGAGCCTTCCCTAGTCCTGCTCAATGTGAGGGCTCTGCTGTGGCTAATGGCCAGAGCTGCACCTCTACCTCAAAAGGCCCCACTGGCCACTGTCCCCCTGGCTTGGCCACCTGGCCGTGACTGCGCCTTCCTGGGCCTGGCAGTGCGGGCGGCCACGGGAGCTGGCTTGTCCTGGAGCGCAGCGGCCCCGTGGCCACCCCTGGCACTGGGGTGGCCAGGCTGGTGATGGCAGGTGGGAATTCTCTTGGCCAGGGGAAGGGGCAGAGCTGCTGCTGGGTGTCCTGTGCCGCTCCACACTCCAGGGCCTTCTAGGCGGAGGAAACGCCGCAGTGATATTGCAGTTCTGGGACAGTGAGCACGGGTCCTGAGGGCTCGGGGACCCTGGCTGGAACCGAGAGCAAATCTGTCACCTCCAGCACCAAGAAAAGTCACTGCCCCCATACTTTGGCCTTACTGAAAAGGCAAAACACAAAAAAAATTCTAAAATTAAAATTTACAAAGGAAAGGAGGGGGAGAGGAAAAAGAAAATATTGTACCTTTCTTTTTTCTTTTTTTTTCCCCCTCCCTCCCTGCCTCTCTCCCTGCCTCCTCTGAACCTATTACTGTTTTAAGTAACTTCTGTTGTCAATGTTTCACATTTTACAGGAAATTAATATATTGGCATGGAAATTACTATATAAAGCATTAAGGGAAACAAACAAATAATTTTTGCCTAAAAATGCCATATGCCAATGCATTTCTGTTTGTATGGTGGCTGTTTTAAATTTCAGTGGGGTTTTTTCAGTCAATGCTGCAGAATGTAGTAGTTAATCTGCATACATGCTATTATTCTGAATATCACTTTTTATTTCTGGAACACTTTCTTTAAGAGATTCATGCTGGATGAGTCATGGAATAAAAAGAATACACCAACAACCACACCCAGACACACCAAC